TTTTTGTTGGGTGAAGCCTAGATTGTAATTGTTGATCATGTGGTACTGTCTTGGCTTTGCCTTACTGATGATGGCAATGAAAGTACAGGAAGGTCAGAGATTTATCCAAGGTCACCCAGCTCCTGAGCCGGGACTGGAATCCAGGGTTATTCTTTCCTGGTGCAGTTTGTCTGGGCCTTGATCTTAAGGACAGACTGATCTAGAGATGCAGCAGATCTCATGTAACACACATTTAACTTATGAGATGTTCTTACCTTTAAGCCTTGGGTAAGATGAGACTAATGACCAAGTACGAGAGGGGCTGCTGATTACTGGGGCTATAGCTGTAAATACCTGTATAGATTGGAGAAAGTCGGGGCAGGGTCTTTGCTGCCTCTTATTAAAGAACAGTATGCGATGTTTGTTTCTGATTAAACTCGATTTCAACTCAGTCTACTTCAGGATCAGGTCCTATGCAAGGTGCTTTCCTATATATTATCTCATTTAATCTTCTGACTAAAAACCAGATCACTTCATATCCATAAGGACTCTAAAAGCATAATATCAATACAAAGTATATAAATTCTGTAAGCAAACTGGAGCAATTTAGAACAATGTTCTTCAAGCAATCTATGGTAAAGGATCAATCCACTATAGACCAAATTCACGTTTATCTCATTTGTAAAATTATTATTTGACATTATTACATGTCAAAATTATTAGAAAAATAAGACATGCAAAATAAAAGCTTCCAATTTTTATTAAATTAAATCAATATAAAATTGCATCATTCAATTGCTATAAAAGTTTATAAACACTCTCAGTTTCTGCATTTATATCATTGAGAACCAATAACACAAATTTGCAGATCAAAACTGGTTTTTTGACTACACTTTGAGTACCACCGACTTATACTTTACCACCCATTCCCCCTTGGCCCTTCAAGAGATTAATAATTATCTTATAGGCTGAAAGATTTGAATAACAAAACATCTGTATAATATTGAGACCCGGGAAACCCTTCACCGTCTACATTAATAGGACTTTACCATTCCCCTGTCTTTATCAACATGAATTTAACTATTCTGCAGAACAGATGAAAGATACAAATAGCTTTATATGTTTTTTAAAGATTTTACTTATTTTTAGAAAGAGGGGAAGGGAGTGGGAAAGAGAGAGAGAGAAATATTGATGTGCTAGAGAAACATCGATTGGTTGCCTCTCACACACCCCCAACCTGGGACCTGGCCTGCAACCCAGGAAAGTGCCCTGATGGGGAACAAAACCAGTGACCTTTTGGTTTTCAGGACAACACCCAACCCACTGAGCCACACCAGTCAGGGCACAAATAACTTTATTGTTTTTCTCAAGAACTTCCCTTTAAATCTCATTGAAATGAACATAAAACCCTTAAACTTTTCAATGGACAGTATTAAAAAGACAATTTAATCTCTGAGGCTCTCTGAAAGCCTTGGCTTGTGTCCACTAATCCTGAACTATTTTATCACAATCTTTAGCCAAAATTAACTAAGCACCAACTCATGAAAGACCTGCCTTAAACCAGATTCCAAAACTTTATAAATATCCCTACTTTGCCGCTGCACATCCTCAGCCCAAGGTGCTACTAAGTCTCTGTGACGGCAGGGCTCTCCTTATGGTGGGGTACAACAAACCCAGTTTTGCCTTCTCCACAGCTTATTTTGCTGGTATTTTCTGGGAGCCAGCATCCAACAATAAGGACTTTCCTTTCTTTGTTCCTCCTTTTAGTCTTGCCCAGTTGCTTCCAAACTTTAGTATGCATAAAAATTACCAAAGAGGGCTATGTATGCAAAAGCGTGCATGAGCAATTTAAGAGATCTCCATGTATAATTTTGTCCATGCCATATTTAGGACCTAAGCCCTGCACACAGATATCAGAAATTGGTAAAGAATAGAGAACCATCGAATGCTACAGCTGGAAGTGGTTTTAGGTGCCCAAGCATCAGTTCGTGGATCAAAATCACCTGATTCCTGTTAAAAAACTACCTATCTTTTGGTTTTACCTCAGATGTACTGAATCAGAATTTCTAGAAATGGGGGCACGTGAATGGTTGTAATTAATTTCTTAAGGGATTGTGATGTGCAATCAGGTTTGAGAACCACTATTCTCTTCCACCATTTCATTTTGTATTGGGTTGGCTAAAAAAGTCCCTTTACTTTTTTCTGTAAAAGGTTCCCTTTAGTTTTTTTGTAAAATAAAAGACATATTTCTCATTTTCACCAATAACTTCATTGATTTGCATATTTTGAGTATGTTGGCTATCTCCCTTGTGGTATAACATTGACTGTTCTCCATTAACGTCTCAATTTGATCACTATCAACTTCAACTGGTCTACACAACTGTGGAGCATCATCCAGTGAGAAATCTCCAACATGAAACTTCACAAACCACTTTTGACACATTCCATCAGTCACAGCACCTTCTCCATACGCTGCACAAATCTCTTTTTGCATTTCAGTTGCGTTTTTACCTTCCTTCAAATAGTAAAGCATAATATGCTGAAAATGTTGAATATCTTCTTCCATCTTCAATATTAAAATAGCCACACAAGAATTCACCAACTTCAATGAGTTTTTCAAAAATGCACACCGGTATAACAGCTGTCACAATTCAACCTAACAAAATTGTTTCAAATGCAGTTAAATACAACTAAGCACTACTAGAGCCATTGTCCAGAAAAAAAAATAAACAGACTTTTTGGCCAACCCAACAGATGAAGAAATAGAGACAAAAAAATGGGAGTAAATGTGCTTAAGATCACAGAGCTATTGAGCTGTGTTTCTCATGATCCTTGATGAAGTTCCCAGGGCTGGAGATGTCCTTATGTATCCAATACCCTAAACAAATATGATTAATGATGTAATCAAAACAGAATTCTATTTTGGCTCCTCAACACCTCTTTAAGGTTTATCAGGGTGGTGGTGGGCAGGCGGGGAGGGTTGCCATAATTTTCCCCTGCTCCTGGGTGGAAGTTCTAGCAGTCCTCATGACTCTGCTTTCTATTCGATAAGAGGCACCAGCTAAAGTATAATTTTCCAAAAAGGTACAATTAGGACTTTTCAACAAAGTTAAAATGAATGCACAGTCTGCTGAAATCTATTGACCATTTTGTTCATTACACTTTAGTTCTCAGAAATTGCTGCTTGTTATTGGGTTGGCTAAAAAGTTCGTTTAGTTTCTTTCCGGATGGTGGCTCTAGTAGCACTTAACTGTCTTTAACTTCATTTCAAACAATTTTGTTAGAGTGTATTGCGACAGCTGTCATATCAGCGTGCATTAAAAAAAAAAAACAACCAAAAAAACTTACCAAAATAGATGAATTCTTGTGTCGCTTATTTAATATTGAAGATGGAAAAAAATAAGCAACATTTTCAGCATATTATGCTTTATTATTTCAAGGAAGGTAAAAACATAACTGAAATGCAAAAAGAGATTTGTGCAATGTGTGGAGAAGGACCTGTGACTGATGGAATGTGTCAAAAGTGGTTTGCGAAGTTTCTTGGTAGTATTGGCATCATGGCCAAACAATTCTTTGCGGTGGAGCTGTCTTATGCATTGAAAGATGTTTAGCTTCCACCCACTAGAAGCCAATAGCGGGAGATAGCTGACATACTCAAAATATCCAACTCAATAAAGTTATTAGTGAAAATGAAGAATGTATCTTTTACTTTATAGAAAATACTAAATAGACTTTTTGGCCCACCCAACAGTGTGTTCTCATTTGCTCAAGGTGGATGGTTGTTAAAAACTTCAAGACCATGTCCTCATAAGGACACACAGCTGGTCCTTTGCAGGCAAGTAGGGCCTGGGAAGAGATTCAAGGTCCAGGCAGCTAATTCCCACAGTTTTTCATCATTCAGACCACATGGTTTCTTGAGACTACTACCTTGCTTCATTCTTTTAGTTGTCTATCATCAGGATGTATGTGGCTAAAAATGGATACTCAGTCTTAAGTCTGCATGATCATCACTAACTTCCCAACTTCTGGCAAGTATCTCTAGCTTAGCTCAGATCCTTGATGGAGACCATCTGACTGGCTGCCCTCCAGTAAAGCATTAGCAGTTCTTTGGGTCAGGTCAACCAACTGCTTGGAGGAAACGCACTTGCTAAGGGGCTGCCTGAGTGTGTGTGAGAGAGACAGACGGAGGAGCCCCAGAAAGTAGTCAAGCAAAATAAAATGACCTTTTAAAACATTTCCAGAATGAGTCTTTGAAACATTGTGTCAAGGACCCCCTGGTTATCTCAAGTGAGTCTGGCTGTCACCCTGTTGCTTAGGTGGGATAAGTTTAGGGGATGGATGGGGGAACATTGTCTCACAGGATCCCATGGCCACACCTTCCCATTCAAGTTTATACCAACATTTGAGACTCCCTTTTGCACAAGCCATTAAACTGCTAGAAAAGGGGATGTTGTGGCCCTGTGCTCATGACCTCCAAACTTTTCAGTTTTGGATATGAGGGTGAAGAGGAGGCTGGGGTGCCCAGCTATGGCATAGATATGGATAAGTTGCAGGAACAGTCGGAGTGCCCAACTGGTGGGGTCTAAACACATTTTGGTTAATTCTGTTTCTTTCCACACTCCCTTTTGGACACAAGACATGGGTCTACTAACTGTGCAGGTAGAAAAGCTGTGGAAAAGCAAGCGCCTCACCATACAGCTGAGGCAAGGCACTGGGAGAAAGAGTGAGAGGTGGGTTCCGTTCAGCAGTTACCAAACCCAGGATTTGTGCAAGGACCTGTGCTGGGTGCAGAGTCAGGGGAAAAGAGGCTTTCGGGCCAGAGCACTCGCAGGCTGGAAGGTCACTCACACACATAATCAGATAAGGCTGCACGTCCTGCAAGGGGCAGATTAGGGGGTTTTCTCCCTGCTGGGGCAGTCAAGGGAGCGGGCCTGGCCTGGCCTGGCCAGGGCAAGGGCCCGAGCGCACAGCTCCCTGCAGGGAGGAGGGCGGCGCGAGGGAGGGATAGAGGGAAGGGAAAGGAGAGCGTGAGCTGCCTTAAATGCTTGGAATAATTCCGCTTCCGTTTGGAGAGCCGCAGCCTCAGTCCTGAGCGCCCGCCCAGCACCAGCTCCGCGTCCCCGACCGGTCCGCGGCTGTCCGCTCCACTGCCATGGCCACCTCCCCGCAAAAGTCGCCCTCTGTCCCCAAATCCCCTACTCCTAAGTCACCCCCGTCCCGGAAGAAAGATGACTCCTTCTTGGGGAAACTCGGAGGGACTCTGGCCCGGAGGAAGAAAGCCAAAGAGGGTGAGTGTGGCCAGGCCGCATGGGCGTCAGGGGCCGGGGTCTCGGGCACGGGGCTCCGGCCGGGCGGGAGCGCGCCGCGAAAGCCCGGCGAAGAGAGGGGCGCGGCGACGCGTGCGCGCGCTTCCCGGGAACGTCGTGGCGGGGGCCGGCGCGCCCGGCCGGCCTTGGCCATCGTCCTGCTGGTGGTCTCGCTGGAGCTGCTCTCCAGGGCCTGGCGCCACCGGGGTGGAGAAGCCCGGGCCTGGACCAGGCAACGCCCGCCCTGGGCTGGGGGCCGGGGCCGCGTGGCCAGAGGGCCCCGGACGGCCGACCCGCCAGCCAGGAGGCGGCGTCCTCCTGTAGGCCCCAAATCCCCGCCCTCTACCCGCTCGAATGCTGGCATTTCCCAAGTTTATGCTGAAACTTTTCTGGGCACCGGCACTTTCATTCTTTGCCTTTCGTTCGTCTCTAAAAGCAGGTCGTTTTCTAGACCTGCTGAAGTCTAGTTGCAGCGATGGCCTCTTTGGATCTTGCCTATCCCCACGGCCCAGTGGTGCCCTATTACTGAATACATCAACATCAAATGTTTGTTGAATGAATGAGTGAAAAGCTGGCTTTCCTAGTGGTCGAGTATATTACAAGATAAACTCGAACCCAAAGAGAAAATCGGGATGAGTCGCACACACTTAGGATCATGGCCGTGACCCTTCTGTGAACTCAGGATTTGAGAGCTCTTGCAAAAACCATTTCCTTTTTCCCACTCTGGTGAATTGAAGGGCTTATTTTTTTTCCAGGACAATTTGCCTGTAAAATATTTTCTCTCACTGGCAGATTTCGCTTCCTGGTTTTTCATTGGAGAAATGAGATGACAGTTCTGAAGAAGCTAATGATGTGTAGACAGAAGCTGATTGATTAAATTTTTGTTTTTATAGAATGCTCAGTGTTATGGGAATAACACTGTGATACGGAGATGTAAAAATAAGTTTCATGTTCCTGAATTACCTTAAAGCATAAAAAATAACTTCATTGTTGAGAATGACCCAACTTGACCCGAAGGGCTATACTTCCATTCTTTATCTTAAAGTGAGAAGCAGCAAAACATATCCCCCAAAATGTTTCCCCCAATTTGGTTATTTTGGTAAACCATGGAGTCAGGTGCAGTTGGTAGCAAATCATGAAATCCTGAGTTGGAAAGTCTTCTTCTGGACTACGCCTCTTTTTCCTAATGTATTCCTGAAATGGGCTCTCTAGTTTAAGACTGGGCAAGTCACAATGTGTGGAGCTCATGGCTATCAGGAGAGCTCACGCCAACTCACCTAGCCAATTCTTTAGAAAAGTTACTTCACTGTAAGTGTAAAAGCTTGGTCTCTCTGTATCTCTTGTACTACTGTCTTATTCATGGAGCCAGGAGAATGAGTCTGATGGTGGCCCTTCACTTTTTTTAAGTGGACTTGCCTGTTTCCTGCAGTCTTCCCCTCACCAGGCCAAACATTTTCTGTTCCTATAGGTGGTCCTCATGTACAATATTTTATGGCTTGCTGCCATCCTATCTGTTCTGTTTCACTCAAGGTCCTTGCAGGAAACAGTTCACCTTAGTTGGGATTTTGAAAATAATGTAGGGAAGGGACTATTTACAGAGGAATAGGCAGGGTTAAAGGAATCCAGAGGGATGATGAGGAACCTAGGGGCTAGCAGAAGATAGAGTGAAGTCATGACCACTCCTGGATCCGAAGGGACAGGGGAGCAAACTAGAACCCATTGAGGGCTGGAGCGCTGGAAGGGGGGCTGCCTGACAGAAACTACCACTGTAGAAGGACAGAGCCACAGTCAGAAACACGGAGATGGATGGAGCAGGGAGACATGGTACAAGGGAGACTCTTCGTTTTCCCTCTCTCTCCTTGTCCTGAATCTCTCACTGGTACTTCCAATTGACTGGACTCAGTGGGAAGTCATCAGAGCAAGGGATTCTGGGTGATGTAGGGATCAGCTTCCTTAGGGCACAGAGCAACGCAGAGAAGAGCTCATGGTGGGGGACAATGGAGAATAACTAGCAGACCCTCTCAAAGCGAGCTGCCCAGAAGTCAACAGAGTGCAATAGTAGTCCCGTACAGCCAGCCCTGTGTAGAACGCTGCTGTCACCTCCTTTATTCTAGCATAGACTCCATGTTCTATTAATGCAGCCAAGTCTGCTTTTCCTTATTTTGTCAGCTACATCACGCTGTTATCTTGCATGGAGCTTGTTATCAGCTGAAAGATATTTTTATGTTTGTTTCTCCTAAATCATTCCCTTTCCTATCTCCAATTTACTGAATTGGGTTTTTGAAATCAAGTGCAAGATCTTTTTTAATCCTTCTTATACTTAACTGTTAAGTCATGTTTCCATCATTCAGTCTGTTAGCTAATCCAGGGGGTGTAAATGGGTAAGTTGAAGAGCATCTACTTCTCCTGAAGGAGCCAGCCATCACCCAGCTCCAGCTGCATGCCACCACAAGCCCAGGCAAAGAAGGCAGTGGGGAGTGTCTGAAATGATCTGCCCTTGGTGAGTGTGTGCTGGGTCTTGGTGATCAGTACTTTACCTTGCCAGGGGCCCACTAACCATCACTTCAGTAGTAACGAGGTTGGGTCTTGCTCTGGATCATGCATCACCTCACAGCTCTGTGTCCCTTCTTTCACTTTACCTCTAGTGTTCTAGAACCTCTCATTCTTCATGATTCCTCAAGATCGCTAATGCTGGTCTCTTCACAGATTATTTCAATGCTTTGGCATAGAATTTTCCTGGCCCAGGACCTATCAGTCATTCATTGGATACCTGTTGTGTCCCTCTGTAGGACACAGAGATTGGAAGGACATAACACTTTAGTTAGATGTTTAGGTCAATAATTTTATATAAAAATGTGTCTTCCTATGAATACTTACTAGCTACATCATAGATTGACTATAAGTCTCATAAGAATACATTAAAATTAGTCATCACTCCGGTGTTTTCATAAGGAAAAAAAAATAGCATTAGAGAGGCAAGAGGTAACAGGTTGAAAGCATGGTCTTCGGGACTAGACACTTTTGGGTTTCATTTCTGGTCTAGCTCCTTATTTATTGCAAGGAGTTAGGACAAGTTCATTAATCCCTCAGAACCTCTGTTTCTTGATCTGTAAAATGAAAATAAAAATTTCTTCCTTACATGGAAGTTGTGAGGTTAAATGAGATAGCATGGCCCAAATAATATTAGCTACTAAAACTGACAGCTCGATTTCACATAGTCTTTAAATGTTGAAATAGTCTTTTCACTAGGGACTGCAGGAGATTCTACAGGTTCTGCAAATAGCCTAGTAGCCCATGACTCTATGAAGCCCATGTAAGCACTGTTCTGGTCTCTTTGGAAATTAGGAATCTTTCCTTGAAAGTCAGATCCTCCTGTTTCCAAAATGTCACATTTCAGCGTTTAAAAATATCTGGGCCCCTTTTAGTGAGTTGTAGCTAAGAAGCTTTTGTTTTTCTCTGTGGATCTTCCCTTTGGGGTTCTCAGTCCCCATTTATGCCGTACATGCCCTCCTGTGTGGGTTCTTAGAAAGAGCAAGTTCCTTAAGATTTGCTCTTTTCAGGAACACCATCTTGAAATGTGTTTGCCAGCTGAAGATGCCCTAAATTAGTTCAGCAGCAATGGTTATTCCTATCATTTACTCATTTATTATTCCTCAGTGTTTTACATTTTGTCTAGTGTCTGAAGTATTTAAAAAGAGCTTTGATTTAATAATTCTTATAATAATCCTAAGACTTACCACTTCAGTTCTTCTTGACTGTCTAGTACAACTAGGGGAAATCCCCAAACTCTGCAACTGATATACGGTTTCTAGAGTGACCAGAGCCCTCAGCATGGCCAAGCTATCCTTCTCTCCTTGTCAGCTTGCGCTCTCATTTTCCAAAGTGCCTCCTCAAACCCTCAGCTCTCAAGCTCCTCCCCAGACCCTGAGATAGAAAAGTGAGTACAAGGTATGATCTCATTGAATTTCCCTTCAGTCCCACCTGCCCCCATATCTACACCGCTCCTTTTGTGCTCCCGTCCTGTCCTAGGCGCTTCTGTGGAGGTGTCCCTTCTCCCCTTGCTCAGGGGGCCAGTCGCTCCCCCTTTCTTCCAGATTCTGCATAGCAGATCCCCTTCCCTCCTGTCCTCAGTCCTTTCTATACTGCTCTCTTCCCCTTACATTCTGTAAATGTGTTTGAGTCTTTCCCATTTAAAGAAAATCTCCTGATATTGGTTTCCTCCTAAGCTACTCGCCAGAAGTCTTGAAAGAGTTGTACGTTCTGGGTTTCCCTTTCTAGTCTCCTAGCCCCTTCCGGGTCCACTTCCCGTTCTTTCAGCGCTTGTTGGAGGGCCTAGTACATGCCAGGCACTGTGCCAGGTGCTGGGATACAGCAGGGAAAATAACAGATGAAAACCTCTGCCCTCTTGCAGCTTACATTCTAGTAGGGGAGACAGAAAATAAAGAGAAAGATTCGTAAAATATGTGTATTTTGTGTGAGTGGTGATAAGTGCCTGAGAGTGAAATAACGCAGGAAAAGGGAAAGTGCAGGGGAGTGGGATGAGGGGTAGTTGGCAATTTTAAATAGGACAGCTAGAGAAGGCCTCACTGAGAAAGGCATATTTGAGTAAAGACCTGAAGGAAGTGACAAGAGAGCCAGACGTGTATGTTGGAGAACAGCGCTGCAGGTGGAGGGAATGGCAAATTCGAAGGCCCTGTGGCAGGAGTGGACTGCTGCGTGGAGGACTAGAGGAGAGAGCGAATCCAGCTGTGGAAGGCAGTGTGCTCTCGGGGGCAATTAGTCAGGATGGGGCTGGTTGTGTAAGACCTTAGAGGCCAGTGGGAGACTAGGGCCTTTAGTCAGAGTGAGATGAGGAGGTTTTGGAGGGTTTTGCACAGAGAAATAATATGACTGCCCATGTGTTCTAACAGGATCACAGGGATGGTGTTAAGTAACTGAGGGGACAGGGGGTGAAGCAGGGAGGTGAGTTGGGAGACTGCTGT